CCATTTTCTTGTTTGTGAATAACACTCTTCACTGGAGCTAATCACCCCACAAAACCTCTTTTCTGTTTATTTGCCTATAGCTTGCCAGGGCAATATGTGGCTAGTGAGGATTTCAAGGTCATCTGTCACCTGATGGTTTGGGTGCTTCAGCTCAGGAAGTGACTGAGTCAGACGCTGGGGCTCAGGAAGAGCTTTTCTGCACCAGTTTAAAGTTAACTTGCCTCAAACTCACTCTGAAGTCACACTAAGAATCTGAATAATTAAATACTTAATTATACTTAACAAAATTCTGTTATTTAAACAGATATAAAAATTATGGCATTCTGTGCTCAAGCTATAAAGCTTATCATAGGTAACAACCAGAAGTAACTCTCCACGAGCCAAGAATGAGAACATTCCTCTACCTAACTTAGGTTTTTCTCCCATTGTGATTTACAGCTTTAGGCAGTTTACATCTTGCTTACATGGTTTAGGAAGAAGCAAATTCTACAATGTTTCATTTGCCTATAAGACATGACTCATCTTTATACGGGTATTTTCAACATGGTAGAGCTACTGGTGGGGTGAGAAGAACATAAAACTGATGAAAGGAAACATAAGTCCTTTAGTTTTTTTGTGGCTCTCATTCCTTGGGCACATACACTCTTGATCAAACAATTATTTTCAAACATTGTAGAGTAGCTTTCCCAAAACCTAAAAAAGAGAGCAATTATAATCAGTGATGCTCAATTGTTTTTTTCATTGTGAACAGCATAAAAAGTTTGCATTCATCATAATGTGAAACTTCAAAGGAAATGAGTAAAACAAACATGGCATACAGTAAGGTTTTATAGCAGAGCATCAACAAAGCAACAGGAACTTAATGCCTGAAGTAGCACCTCAGTTCTGTCCGAAAATTTTTTATATTCCTTGATAAAATAGTTTTTTGTTATGCACAGTAACACCATTTTTTTTTCTTTTTTCTTTTTTGGTACCAGGGAATTGAGCTGAGGGCCTTGTGCTTGCAGGGCAGGTCCTAGGCCACTGAGCTACTTCCCCAGCCCAACAATTATTTTAAAATCTGCACGTCTTTAGCTATTCGTGAGAGTGAAGCACAAATATTTTCAGATAAAAAAAACACCCTGACTCATGTTTAGAAAGAGAAAATGGTAATTAATAGTTTGACTTTGCCTTTCATTGTGAATTAATTCTTAATTCAACAAACATTTATGAAGTTATATTCACTTAGACACGGAAGGGAAACAAAGAACAGAATATACAGCTTAATCTTTGAAGGAGTTCCTGGTACTGTTCAAACCCATCCACAAGATGGGTGCTTCTAGCTGTTGGTCTAATTTCAGGGCTTAGTAACTATGTTCCTCAGTCCAATCAAGCCTGTAGCCAGTTTTTGAGACAAGATTTTATGTATCGGAATACAGTCACATCCATTAGTTTACATACTGCCCATGGCTACTTTTTATTATGATGGCAGACTTGAGTAGTTGGGATAGAATCCTTATGAACCCCAAAGCTTGAAATATTTACCAGTTTGGCACTCAGCAAAAATTGTGGCCCTATGATCTCATGAACAAGAACATTAGTTTAAATTAGACATATTATTTTAAAATGGGAATTATGACTTAATTATGATTATTCAGCCTGAGATGCTAGTAAAAAATGGAAAATTTTCAGCTAATCAACATGATTGGCATGTAAATTATAATATATTAATATAGTGGGATGCTATGAACAAAGGTGGCTTATATTTACTGATGTAAAAGAATAACTAGAATTTATATGTGAGAGAAAAAAACAAGGTACATAAAGAACAATCTACATAGAGAAAACAGTCTACATAGAGAAAAAAGTTATTTACACATGTGCTTTTATATTCATTTTCTTGTTTTAGAGAATTATATTTAAAAATGGTGCAGTCTTCCTCCTAAAGAGGTTATTACTATTTTCTTTGTACGCCTAGAAATTAGTATCATTTTGTTAGAGAGCCTAAAGTATGCCCTACAGGATTTCTACACGCTATAGCTATAGTATGTATACATGCACACAAGCATGTTCATGTACATATTTGAGACAGAGATTGAGAGACTGAGTTTCATTCTTCATTTAGAAAGAGTTTTTGATAATGGAAGTATGTTAATATGGACCACACTCTCTAAACATAGCTATTTATAAGACAATCGAGATTGCTATCTTATGTCGAACTTCAAAATCTTTGAGTAATGAATGTTAAAAATCATTCTCATAGGCAATTACGTGACATTCAAACAATGTTGGTTGTCTCAAAAAGTGTATTTTTATTACCAATGTGCAGGAATACAGGACTCAAAATGATGTCCTAAATCTGGGGTTCAAAGGAGATCTGGTATCCTGACACTGTAAGTGGAATCTGTCACCAAATTCTGCAGCTATTTCAGGCTCATCAGCCTACCATGGATTTTACCATGGACAAAACACTTAACAGACTCTCTAGAGGGACTCTGTAGAAATTAGTGGAAAGGCTGGATGACAGTTTGTGCCTCACTGATAACAGAAGCTTGCAGGTCACCAGCATAAGCCCAAAACTACTTTCTTTATCACACATATGATCACTTAGTTGGTGGAGAGGAGACTTATGTAACTTATCGTCTTCTAATTAACATAGGATACAATATTCACCAGAGAGAAACTGATAACTATGAAGGGTCAAGATGGTTATGTCAATTTATAATGACTAATTTAAAAATAAATGACTAATCTTGATAAAAGTTTTACCTAAGCCTCAATTAATGAATGCTCCATTTACTTCTACTTAGGACATGAAAAGTCACCCTGAGCAACATCAAAAGAATTGGCTGAAAAGTTTTCATTTTTCATCCAGTGCATTTTTTAAAAAAATCAAGATTAGCCCCTCCTTATTCCCAAATATATTTTCTATAATAGAAATGATAAGAAGGTCATAGCTAGTTTTGAAAAGCTGGGAATTGGATGGTAGAATCCTAACATTTTAGACATGAAAGATGCTTCAAAGAGCACCGATTTGCCCTGCCCTCTCCACACAACTTTTACACGAGGACAAGGAAAACCCAAACATAAAAGAACTTGCCAACCGTGACCCAGCTAGAGACTGAACCAGGATGCCTAACCTTTTCAACCACAGATCAGGAAAATAAATTCATATTGAGAAAAGGAGTAAAAGTGTTTAATACTTTCAGATAAGCAAAGTTCCTAAGAGTTCCTCTACAAATGAAAAATCTAAACACCTCAAAGGAATAGCACCTCCTTCATAATAACACATTTTCTGAAGTTACTTCATAGCTTAAAACCAGCTAACAGATATGGGTGGTTTTACTAAAACAGTTTTCTGAAAAGTGAACCTTCCAAGAAGAATTCAGATTGGAAAGAGGAAAAGCTGTGCCAAGAGCCAGCTACCCTGCTGAGAAGTTTCCAGATAGCAAGACACACAGCAGGGAGTAGCAAAGGGAAGTGGCAGCTGAAACTGCTCTTCAGGCACAAACTCTGCTTCTGACCACTCTGATGGAAAAACCTAGGAGCAGCTGAAGACAAGCATTAGTCCACAAGCAGCTGCGGTGGGGGGCTCCAGTGCTCCAGGCTCTCCTCTCAGTATAAATCTTACAAGTTCCTCTCATCCTTCATCCAGGAGAGAAGGATGACCTGGGGATCAGAGGACTGGGAGGCAGCTGCTACTAGCAAATCACAAGGGTAGCCTGGATCCCGCACTGATTTTCCAAAAGACAGAAAATAATAACCATAAGCAAAAGGAGAACACAGATCCCAAGCCTCAGTTACTCTATGGGAGACCACCTAAGGGAAATATGGAGGGGAAGGGTCTCAATCACGGCAGCTGGTTGTCTGATTCCCTTCTGCAGAAACAGGATGGTATCAAGTGCTTAGGGATGATTACAGAAAGAGAAGATTTTCTTGCTTTCCTTAGAGCTTCTGTTTCTGGATGAGACAGGGTAAATATGTGATGCAGATATGTCACAAGGGTATAAACAATTACATACGGAACAGAGCTGTGCTTGGCTGGGATCCAAGAGAGTGGGAAGAATTCAGCTCAGGGCCTTGAGTCAGAGGTAACATCAGGATGGTTTTATGGAAATTGTCAGCTAAGTTGTACACATGACAGGGCTTAGCTGCAAAGCACAGAAAGAGTTTTTACCTACAGTTTTATGGAAGGCAGGAGAGAAAGAAACTCTTCATTTAAAATATGATCAGGTCTACGAGTGTAGCTGAGAAGTAGAGTGATTGCTCAAGGATCTGGGTTCAATTCCTAGCACTGAAAAAATAATAAAATACAATGTGATCAAAGAACCAACCAAAGCTTCTGAAGGCTACGTATATGTAAATAATTTACTTCTCACTCAAAATGAAATGTGGGGATTCATGCAAATGACAGAATTCCAGTATTATGCAAATTAATAATTGACCAAGAATGTCTGTGACACCATAATCCCTCAACATTTCATTTATAAAATCATTATACTGTTCTCATAACAGAAAAAGGGGAAAGTTAATCTAAAGCACCAAAAGATAACATTCAACTGAATATAAATATTAAAAATGAAGTAATAGGACATTGTATTATATTTTATAACTATTAGGACTTTTTTTGGTAAAACCTGTGTCATGCCCTGATTAGCCTTTAGTAGTAAAAATACTCCACTTGTAGAGTTATAATGCTGTTTTGAGATGAAACAAAATTTTCATCAATATTTATATTCTATTCTGATATTTAAAAGTGAAATATCCTACTTCCAATCATGTTGTAAAGCAACAGGGTTAGCAATAGCTACCACCTGTGCAGCACTGGCTACCACCCCTGGCCTGAGGCTGGAACGTTGCACAGTTTTATGATTGATACTAATAGTCTAATAAGGTATTACAACCCCAGGCACACTTTACAGGGAGATATAGGAAAGCTTTCATAATTTTCTCATGCTTGCAAATAATAAGGAAACAAGTGTTCCAAACCGTATTAACTAACTTTGTATCTCACCTCTCAGAGTTCTTGAGAGTCTTCTCAAATAAGAATTACAGATGAAAAGATACAAGCCCCATCTGCTATGCTTCTACTGTAAGTATGGAAATGCCTCTCACACTGAGCATTTTCTATTAGTGTTTTAGCAATTTTAATATGTCTTAAGGGATTCTTATAACCACATTTGGAAAGTTTTCTACATTCTGACACATTATACTCCCAGGAAATTTTTGTTGATAAGAAATCTATTTTGTCCCAAAAATTCTCAGAATTGCCCTTATTATCACCCCTTAGCTCTGTTTCCCCTGCAGCATTTATCCTTTAAAAACTCAGCAACTAAAATGTCCATTCATTTACTCAACCAGGCTGTAAATTACATGCTTCTCTTGCATAATCTCTCAGGCCCTTCATCATACTGCTCTCTCCACTCCCTTCAAATTGTTTGCATATTTTTCCCTCAGGATTGAGTTGCTGTAGTTGAGGCTCTACCTAAAAGCTGGTTAGGACTCCCAATCAGAATGGGAGTGTTAATTATTTGCTATAACCTGTCTATAGCTGTCTGGCTTTTATCTAATATGTTCTTACGACTTCATCATTATCAGTGCTGAATGATGCCAGGGATGTTTAATTGATAGATTATTATTAATTCACTATCCATCTTTTTTTGTATATTATGGGTATATTACAAACAGGGAAAATGATGGAGAGAAAGGTTTTTAAATCTTATGCAGTCTCCAAGTTTTATTTAGCAATTCTCCTGAAATTTTCTTTTGGTAAGGAAAGGGAAAGAGCAAATGACATTTGTGATTATTTGTGGATTTTATTTATCCATTCACTCTTTCATTAGCTCTGATATTTTACTGAAATTTCATTGGCCAATTGTATTCTTACAATCAAGTACATTTCCTTCAGGCCTTCTCAAAATTTTCCCCAATAGCTACAAATTGAACTTCTGATGCATGGTCCTGTTTTTACATTTAGATAAAATAAAAGTTAATTTTTTTCTACTTACTTTAGGCTACAAAGTGGTGTCAAATGGCTAAAATAATTCCAAACTATGTCGTGTTTGGGCAAGAAAAGAACAATAATTTTTATTTCCACCTCAGGCTCTCACCACGGTATTCATTCCCTTTCTATAATCCTATAATTTTTTCTCTTTATAATCTAAATGATCTCATTCTCTCTCACTCTCTCTTTACATATATCAGTGATCCCACTAATACATATATAGAAATAATCTTTATAACTATGTTTTTATGAATACATTTATTTCTATAAAGATTCTAAGTTATTTATATTTCTCATTAAAATGCCATTGTTGCTAAGGATATATGTCAGCATTATCAGCCTACTGAATCCATCCGGTATAAAAAGACAGACACACATTCCATCCAATGAGCTTTAAGCTATTTTAAAAACTACAATAGCATTTGATGTATGTGTTACATAGCTGTTATTAAAGTTAATTCTCAGGTATGGTCCATGCAATTAATTTCACAATTACTGAAAATAGAAGACAGAGATTCTAAGCAAGGACCTATGATTTATACTTTCTAAGTATTTATAATAAAATTTACGAAAAAGATTGTCACTTTTGTGCAACCAGGTATTCATAATCTAGAGTTATAATTATTGTAGATAAAGGATCAAGGATGACAATGTTAAGGATTTTTTGATTGAGTTCAGTAATAATATTTTACTATAACAGTAAGATATTTGATGGTTAAAGCTATTTATCATCTATAAATTTTAACCACTAATTGGCATGAACACTGTTATTATGTGGTTACCACATGTGTTACATAAGCACCTGTTTTAGGAATTTGATAATGTTAAAGCAAAGTCAAATCAGAAGAAAGAACTCAGAAAAAGAACAAATGGTTATTGAGCATTTGGGAAGATAGGAAACTTCACTAGTACAGTATATTTAGGAAGAAAGTAATACATAGGTACATTTTTAAAATCTGATAAAATCAAGTGTTGCAACATTGTAACTTATGGGCACCTCTCACATCCGATTGCCAGAGAGTAAACTCAGCCATTTTGGAGCACAACTATATAGGAAAGTTGATCTCCTATTTACTTTAACATCCAGTAATTCCACTTGTACTCAAGTACAGTACCTCAAGAAACTCTCCCAATGTGCACCAGCAAACATGACAAGGGTGTTCATGGCAGTATTCAGTCATTCATTTATTAATTCACAAATATTAAGGGCATAGTTCTGTTTGGTTAGGATATTTCTGGGGCCGAAACAGAAATCTTCCTTGTCATACAGTTGATGGTAGCAAAAAGTTTAAAATCATCTCAATAACTCCCCCTCAGAAAAAAGTAATATATTATCATACAACAGAGCGACAACAAAAACTAGGGAATGAAAAAAGCATGCTTTAGAAAACTACTTGCATGACGTGATTTATGTACAATTTAGAAAACAAAGACATGTAATATTTTGGATGTGTTTGTGTGTGTGTAAAATCAATGCCTGAATAGGGAGCTTGTATTCTACTTCCATGATAGAAGTTGACTGCATTTGAGAAATGAGATTAAAATAAAGAATAAAGAGGAATTCAATTTATCTCTAATTGTAAAATAATAAATATGATAAAAATTGGTCCTAATTGATCTGCATGTGTACTTATATTAACCTTTGAATTTTAATATTTTTAAAACTCCCTAGTACATGCATAAAATCATTTTCCTTTTTTTTTTTTTTTTT